TAATAAAAGTTCTTCAGTTTACATGAAAATTCCAGAATATATGCAATTTATTATTTCGGACAACTTTTTACTTAAGAGACTTTAATATATAGCTACGATTATCGATTATATTTTAATTTTGTTTGGCGACAAATTCTGATTGGCTAAAGGGCAATGGAATATTAATTAACATATGTTAAATGACCTTCTAAGTAATTTGGGTCTCGAAATGACCCAATAACTAGTCATTTGGGTCATTTCGGGTCATTTACCATCACTGTTGTACGGAAATGGAAAAGACGGAATACCCATAGTTATATTTCTTGTTTTCAGTAACACCCTTGATGAGAGCATACATAAAAAGTAAATAAACGAAAGATGCTTCGGTTACTAAATAGTTTCCGGAGCACTGTTTCAAATGTTATGATTAGGAGTACGATTCAAAAATCGACCCTTATTTCGAAATGACACACATGGGCGTACTCAAAATGTCGAGGAAGTAAAAACGCTCGGGAAGCAATTATGGGTGAAATGGTCGTGCCAAAGATGAATATTGGGGGAATTACTGTCAGAGAAGCGACTGTTGGTGAAATACTATCATTAGGACTCTGCATTTTTTATTGGATATTATTATGCATTTTCAATATACATGGTTCTACTGAAGAATAGATTCAGTGGGTGGAACCATTGAAACACGGGATGCTTTCAGGTTCCAGTCAACAACACTGCACTACAGTATGTTTATTTATTTATCTGTTGCTCAACGAACAAAAACCTGGTGGACATTTACGAACGAAAATCACGATCATGTTACATGAGATCATGTCTCGTCAAGTTGGTAATTAGAGATTAGGCACTATTTTGATAGTTGGAAAATCTTATTGAGGCCCTTAAAAAAAAAAATCACTTGTAAGATTTATTTAATCTATCCGTATTGCATTTTTAGCCATAAAGGTTATTATATACGTACAGATTTCCTGAATGCAAGAATGAAAAGTTTTGACTTTATTGTTTATGTAAATGCTCATAAAAGAATTTTAATTATTAAAGAAAAAAAAAAGAAAGATATCGAAAATTTCATGATAACTTATAATATAACGTAACTTATAAATGTTTCAAATTAAAAAGCCACTTCTATTTATATATATACACATTAAAATAAAGAAAGAATAAAGCTTCTTTTTTGAATATAAAATAGTAATACGCCTGTTATTTTATTTGTTGATCTATTTTTCCATCGCTTGCCATTCGCAAAATTCATCCATTATGATACCAGTGCTCACAACGCCTCTTTCTCGAATCGTGACGTTGATAATTGCTCTTTCAAACAATTTTATTCTCAATTTTTGTATCAGATATTCTGGTGGAGGAACACCAAAAATAATGATAACAATACTTCGTAACATGATGTCGACAGATGCACCAACCTGCCACTCTTCTGAGGAAGGTCCACCAGAGATATGAAGAAAAATGTGGCATATTATGGAAGAACACGCAACAACTCCAAGGCTGACCATATAATAAATGCCTATCGCAGTATTAAAATGGTTTAAATGTGATTGTACGTGGCTACGAGACGAAAAAATTGGTAAAAAAGAATATGTGAAAGCAGCACAACTACAAATAACGAAGGAAGACAAAGTTATTATGAAAAAGATAGTAACAATCTTATCATAACAATCAAAAATGACAATTATCACAGTTACAAAACAGCCAATGCCACTTAATATAAGAGATACTACTGCAATTTTGAATAGACAAGTGTTCCGATAGTCTTGTGGATAAAACTTTCGACCAAGGTTCAATATACATATACAGAGAGCTTCTGAGTAGATTGCGGTAAACAGCAAATAAATATCATTATACCATGGCACATCAGGAAAGTCGAGAAAGATGCGGGTATAGCCAAGTATTAAAATGGAGAGATTTAGGAGCGTGCAAAAAAAGCTAATGAAAAAACTTGTCAGAATTCAAGTCATAATTTTAATTATCATTATTTATCGTTATTATGTGCATCATACCATGTGAATCTTAGAGAGTTAGGCGCTATGAGAATTTGTCTTCCGATTAGAATGCCACAAATGATTGAGATTGTTGTTGCTAATGAAAGAAAAATAACCTCGATTATTATTAGCATTTGTTATATATCGAGTTGAGATAATAAAAAAAAGAAATGATTATGGTGAGAGAATATGCCAGAAAGAAAGTTCAATTTCCTAAATAATATGTTTTTTCTTCCATTAAAAATTTTATGAAAATGTGATCGAGGTATAAATTCTAGGTTAGATATTATTGAATTTACAGTGTAAATGAAACACAAATCTCTTATTTAAATGAAATGCATCATGAGTACAACTCATGTTCCTTAAGAAACAAAATAAATATATACATGTGCACAAGCTCCCTGATTGCTTTAAGAATAGTCAATTTCTGTTTAATAAATCTGTAGAAATTAACTATAAATTTTTGTAAAATACACAAATAATTTAATTCAATAAATCTAAGCAACTCTTATTATATAAACATAAGATAATGATGCAAATTTTGGCAATAACGAATTTGTTTTTTAATTTGCCATAAGAAAGATTTGGACTCATCCGCACCTGCATACCGAGCAGTGATATAAAGTTTGATAATTATATTATGACATAACCAACCAAATTAGGCAGTGATGGACATTTAGGATGATTTTCGAAATTTGCAAATAAACTTAATGTTGCTATGCACTACGTAGCATTTCACAGGTATATATATATTTTAACGGGCGCCCTAATTTCTCCCCAAAGTTCTGATTGGACGATGATATACCATTTCAAATTGGATAAAATAAATCATGCGGCATATCAGGTAATTACCTGTATTTTAATATCGATATATGGATTTACTAATTTCTTCCCCGAGTTCCTATTGGATGACTACACATTTAAATTAATTTTTTTTGTATTTTTTTTTTTGTATTTAATCTTTTCTTTTGTATTTAATTTTTTTTTTGTATTTAATTTTTTTCCTTTTGTATTTAATTTTTTTCTTTTTGTATTTAATTTTTTTTTTATCATATTTGATTTTTTTTTTGTATTTAATTTTTTTGTATTTAATTTTTTATTTTATTTTTTTCATATTTAATTTTTCATGTTTAATCTTTTTTTCATATTTAATTCTCACCTTAATATTAGGAAGTTGTTGATTGCTATGTTTTTTTGCTAACATTTTATATTAAAAAAAAATTAGTAACATTTTAGGCTATTACCTTCCTATCTGCCCACTCTTTAAAAAATTCTTCACTATCTCACCTACTTACCCATCTTTGAAAATTCAGGGTATTTTGTAAGACCTTGATTATATCAGAGATTTTAACCTCCAATCAAGTAGTAAAGTCACGTGATTTTGCTCTTTTACATTCTTGCAAAATTAGCAAAATTCAAACTCTGCCTAATCAGAGTTTGAATTTTGTTAAATAGCAAATCACATAACTTTCATGTTTTTGAAGTCTTTGAAATTGGATCAGTAACACAAACTCGAAGTTACATAAGCTATATATTAAAAAATAATAAAAAAATAAAAAATAAAAAAATAAAAATAAATTTAAAAATAATTTAAATTAGAGAATTTAAATTTGGTATACTATATATTGTAATACACCCCCAGTTACAGATGATTTTTTTTTTTTACTT